GAGAGGGAAGGACACAGGTGGGCCTGCCTGGTGGCAATGGCCTTTCTCCAGATCCCCTCCTTCAGCTTTCATCTGGGAACAGAGAGAGCTACCCTGCCTGACCCACCCATGCTGTCACCTTGAACCTGAAACTCCTCAGCAGGCAGCTTGCGTCAATCTCCAGGTGTCTGGCCCTGTGACAGGAGAACGCCGGGTGACGCTTTGCTTCTCTCTGTAGGTCACGCAGGAGGGCCTGGGCCTGATTAAGGGGCAGCTGGTACTCAGCATCAATGATTGCCACATGCACATGCAGGATTGGCATCGTCAGGTCATCCAGGTCTTTAAGAAAACTTAGAAATCTGGACTTTTAAATGAGATTTCCCACTTTTTAGATGGTGGCAGAATTTACAAAAACACCAGACAGGTCACCTGCGGGCTGCCAGCTGACCACCTCTGCCCAGCAATGAGGAGTCATCAAAGGGCATTAAGGACGAGTGGATGAGATCAAATGTGTGTTTCAGAGAGATCTCGGGTTGTTGGGAGGTGGTGGGTGGCTAAGGATGGGAAGAGGCTGAAGGTGGACCAGTTAGGGGCCCAGGAGAAGAAAGGATGCTTGAGGCAGGTCAGCCACCTGGGATGGAAGGAGAGCAGTGACACTCCTGGTGAGAATAAGCAAGTCTTACTCTTGATGTGTTCACACCTCAGAGGATGGCCACAGGGCCGGGCAGGCTGCCCTGTGAGTGGATCCTCTGGCTGTGGAGGGGTGGCCTCTGCAGGGGCCCTGCCACCTGGGAGCCCACACTGCTCTGTATGGAAGTCCTCCTCTCCGCACCGGCTTCTGTAAACAGGTTATGGGTGTCTCTAACTCCTTCTCCCAGGCAGGAAAATTATTAGGATTAGCCTGCCAGTGCCAACAGTCCTTATAGGGTCTTCTGTACAGGTACAGCCCCAAGAACAGAGTCTTGGGTCTGGGCTGGGCCTGGAGAACGTGACTTAGGCAGCTTTCCCAATATCTCTGCAACTGGGTGCCCAGCGCTGTCTGTGGCCCAGGGGACAGAACGGGTGTGAATCGGCATCGGTTCTTCTGAGGAAGCCCATGCAGTGCTGGCTGGGTTACTGTCTCAGAGCCCAGTATTTGGAACCAGGTATTAAGTTAATGACAGGGCACAAGCCCACATCTGTGATGCCCTGGTCTACTGCTCTCCGCCTCAAACCATGGCTCATCTCTCTCCATCCTCCCGGCTTACCCACGTGAGCTTCAAGGTGCTCGCTCAGCTGTCCTTGAGTACGTGCTGCCTCCTATGGGAGGTTTTCTTCTGTCCCTGTCCCCACCTCCTTGCCAAACAAACGTGAGCATTCAACAACTCCCTCCTCATTTTCCATTTAACAAATTTCCTCCTATTTATGTGAATGGTCATCTCATTTATGGTTTCATTTTATTTTCATGGTGAGTAAAACAAGCTTTCATTTCAATTCTGGTTGCATTATTGCGTGGGTGCTTGTCTGAAGGCGTTTACTTGATCGCTCGCCTGCCAGGACCACAGAACGCTGGCTTGGAAAGGCCTAAAACCGCATGCACACTGATGATTCCCCAGTGTGGGTTCCGGGTCAGTGCCAGCCCAGGAAGACTTTCTGCTTGTTCATGGTCACGAGGGCAAAACAAGGACAATGTGGAGAGGTTGCCTGTGCACATGTGTACATATGTGTGCATCATACACATGTGCATGTGTGTGTGAGAGGCAGGCACAGGTTGAAAATGCTTTCCATGATACTCTCTTCAACTCAAAGGATGGCTCTTTTTGCTTTCCTCACCTTGGGGGGTTGAACTACTTAGTGAAATGATGGTGAAAGAGGCACTTAATATTTTGTCTATATGTAAGTTTGTCAGCTCTGTCAGTCTCCTGCTATTTGCGACATTGTGCCGATGGGTGAGACCGCGTTCAGGAGACCACGCTCTGGAGCAGCTTCTCACCCAGTGCAGGATCCTCCGTCCTGTGTGGAGAGCTCGCTATATCCGAGGAAGCCCAGCTTGGGTTTGGATGGTTCTCACTGCTAGAAACTTCTTTCTTATGTTTAACGGAAGACTGGCTTCCTCTAACATCCATGAGCTAGTCCTAACCCTACAGCCCAAAGGAGCGCAGTTTCTCTGGCATAGTTTCTTCAGATGTTTGGAGGACCACCATGTGGGAGAAAGGTTGCTGCTTTGCCAGCATTTCTAGGACCAAAGGGTGTTATTAGAGAGGGACAAATGAAGGGACTACTCTAGCTTCTTCCATATCTTCTACTTCACCTCTCCTAATGATGAAAATAGCAACAGCGATAGCTGACGTTCAGTGAGTGCTAGGAACTGCTGAGCACTTTACAGTATATGAAATCTTCAATCCTCACATCTAATCTCAGAGGTAGAGCCCCCGTCAGCCCCATTTTACAGATGAAAAACTGAGGCACAGCGAAGTTGGGTAATTGCCCATTGTCACACTGTAGTAAGGGTCAGAGCTGTGCAGTCTGATTTCAGAGCCTGCACTATTAACTACTGACCGTTTTACCGGGACTTTAACTACTAGATGCCTTCACCCATCTCTCTCTTCTACTCATCGCTGTCCAAGTTATTAAAATATGCCAGAATTGCACCAATGAACACAAAGTAAGGGACCATGTGCCCCTCGGTTGGACATGGTATGTCTATTAATACACCTAAGATCATGATTAATGGGTTTGGCAACAACACCACACCCTGGGCTTATCCGGAGCTTGCATTTGATTCAACCCACTTTTTAAAAAAACCAGGTCACCTATGCTGTGTTTTTGCAATTGATTTTTGAATGTGAGAGTAGGATTTGGTGTATACATTCTTGTCAAAATTTTTCTACAATTCTGTAAAAAATAAAAATAGATTTTCATGTGGACATAATATAACTGAATGGTTTAGAGTGATGGGATTGTAGGCACTTGTACGTTATCTTCAAAATTATTATATTTATGGCTGTCATGATGTTATTGTGCAAAAAGTAAAAACTGATAGAGGAAAGATTGATTTTTTAGTTCTGGCCCATCCTTTCAGCGTGTTAAAAGCGTTATAACACCCTTGAATCCATGTCTCTCGCATAGCAACCACCCCTCCCAGCTTTGCAGCATATGCACATGGTGAGTCTGCCATATCTTCTCCCAGGATGCTGGTGTCTCCACTGGATGAAGGCCCACTCCCTGCAGTTCAGTTTGGAGACTTCCTGTACTGAGTCTAGTATGCTCAATAGCCACGTGACCATACTTTAGGAGAATACAAGTTGAGCTCATTGCCCATCAGGGGCTGGTTCGGAGCTGCTGGTTGTGGATTCTGGTTGGAATGAAAAGAGTCCATCATTAAACATTTCCGAGAACCCGATGCATGCTGGGGCTTCTGCTGGGTTCCAGGGCTATACAGACGTATAAGATGTAGCCCTCATCCTCAGATCTGGTCTTGTCTCTGATGTCATGCAGATGGTGGTAGACAACCCCAGAGAATGTGCCTCATCTTGGGGGACACCTTCCTCTCATGGGCACATCACCCCCCGCCCCCGATTCCCCCCGGTGCCTGAGTCTTCTACCTGCAATCCCACCTCTTCCAAGGAGCCTCTCTGTCTTAAATAGAAGGAAAATACTAAAGGTTGTGGAGATGGGGCAGGATTTCTCTTCATGTCATTTCCTTGTTGAAAAGCCTTCCGTGGTAACTCTGTGTGGTGACAGTAACTAGACTTGTGGTGATCACTGTGTAGGTATGTAGATGTCAAATCACTGTGCTGTACACCTAAAGCTGTTGTAGTATTGTGTGTCAACTAGACTTTAATTAAAAATCAGAACCTTCAATGGCTCCATGAGCTCACAGCCCAGCCTGGCCTCTCTGTCTGACGTTCTAAGCTCTGGATGCTGCGGTCCAGTCGGCTCATTCAGTGTCAGTCCCTGCTCTGGACTCTCTCGGGCAGGCTGGCCTCTGCGTTGACCCAGGGCTCTGCATGCTTCTTTCTCTCATCCTTGCTGGGATTGCTCCCCTTTCCCTGGGATGCCCCCTCTCTCCCTTCCATCAGCCAGATCTCTCCTTTCCAGTCCTCCGAGACCCCTGGAAACTTCCCTGAGTGCTTCATCTCTTTCTGACTTCATTTCTCTGTGGAGAGAGAATTATAGTCTCCACCACACAGCTCGGCACGGCCATATATATAGTCTTGTCTTATCTGATGCTGTTTCATGTGGTTAATCTTATTCCCCCAATGATGCTGCGGCACTTTTATAACAGGACCCATGGATCTTAT